CACCTATAAGTGTCCACAGAATTTTTGCCATGATTGTAGCTATGGGTGGAAGCAAAACTGTGAGCTCAAAAATCAAAATATATTCAACAGCATAAATGTTTTGTTGCCCGATTTGACAAATTAGTAATACTTTATATGTTGTTATGCTGGTTTTTTTCCAGCTTGACAGTAAACAAGCTGTTTGTTTTGTTTTATAACCTGTTAGAAATAAGGAAAAATACATGAGTCCCAGGCAGCTGTGCTTGGATCTTAACCCTTTAAAGTAGTTACATTGCATGCTCCCCAATGCACCCTACTTTATTAGTGTACTCTGTCTAATGCCAGGCAATTTTACTCAAGTGGAAAAGTGCTGGTGCTTATGCAATAGGTTAAACACCCAGGTCACTAACCTGGTGCTCTACTATGCAATTGAGCTAAATGTGATCAATGACAGGCCGTGCTAAGATTTGTGTACTCTGCCCTGCATGGGGAAAGGCACATGCATACAAATAAAAAATATTTAATACAAGTTTAGACCCAATCTATTCATGCAGAATCTTATTTGTATATCCTATTACATATTCTTGTGTGTATACTGTATATTTTAGCACAGTCTAAATCTTGATGATGCAACAAAGCATGGAATAAATAAGTCAGCAGCAGGTTATGCAGATATAATAATCATGTATACTATGCAAATGTTCATGGTTTTGTTGGCCTTCAACATTTCTGACATTTCATGGGGTGGTAAATCAATATTTGAATAACAGTTTCTATAAATTACTTTACACCTTATGATCAACAATAATTCCCATGAACAGCAAACTTGATATGGAACATTTTACTGTGAGTTTTCAAGCAGACTAGCCTTATATGTGTCTGAGAGCTATTAAAACCTGAATAAATCGTGATGGCCTTAAACAAACTCAAAAAATATACACAGAGAACACCTACCTTATTGCTGTTCTCGGCCAAATAAATACTTTAAACTTTTATTTCTCATTCTTTAACGATTTTACTGGCAAATAAACTGAAAATCACTCTGACTAGCCATTTTTAAAACCACGTGACTGTATTTGTTTTGCAGCAAATTTAATAACATTGCTCTAAATCTTAACTCGGTCAGGGGCATCGGAGATACTGGGGAGCAAAAACAGGTTAAACAGCATGCTCTGAGTGATGTTATTTAATTTCAAGATGGCGCGTGTTTATTTTTGTTCGTCGAAGAACTGAAAATACAAATGCAATTTGTGAAAAAACTGCGGGTCTACGGAGCGGCAACTTTTCGGATTTGAATTCAGCGTGTTCTAAAATGTTAGTTACCGTGAAAATATTTCAGTTCCACGACATGCTTAATGAAAGTGAACGATATCGGGTCACAGCAAACGGCCTAACAAGCCCCTTCCAAAGAATACGTAAAATGCTTTGGCTTTCTTACGACAAATCGTAGAATAAATTAAATTTTTTCGCCAATGACTTGCCATGTGCAATAACACAATATGCATGCATGCACACAGTTTTGTCAAGAGGTTATATTTTTAAGGCCTTTATGAAGAGTCTTCTTTTTTGCTGCTTCTTTAGTTTCAATATGTGCTTATATTGTTCAATCCAATTGGCTGCAAACGCATGAGCTCGAATGTTTATCCACAGTTTTATGCACATCTACATTACCTGAGCGGATACCGATGTATCTCATCCTGCAGTTGCTTGCGCCAATATGCCATTGCAACTTTATCCTTAGATACCGCATTTAAAACAGGTTGTCTGATATCTGACGAAACAGTTCTAATGCGAGATTTTCGAAAAAATAATTTGCAATGGCGTTCTACTAATGGTTGTGAAATGCTTGCCACATTTTCTCACATTGATCTGATGGAAATTTTCCTGAATCGCCAGACGTGGCTGCTTTCCAAATTTTTGTGAGTAGCTGTGCATGCGCAGCTAACCACTATGTGAGAGACTGAAGCGCGATCTTCCGTGGCTCTGTTTCTTGGGGGCTCTGTGCCTCTGTGGCCTTCGTGTCCGCGGTGTCCTGCTGTGCGGTTCCTTTTATCCTTGAAATACGAACCGTCTATCGACCACAGGCTAAGTTTACTAACGCTCATACTGTACAGATATGTGTATAAATTCTTAGTAAAGTCTTTATTGTAATATGTTTTGTCAGGTCGATAGTCATTTCCAACGCATATAGAATCGAATATGTCATTTTTTTTATAATCACAGCTTGTACAAGGGTCATTGGGGTTAATATTAGTGCACAGGGTCTGTTTTATATCGTGTAATGACATATCAGTTTGATCAAACATTTTATACGTATTAGAAAAATAGTAATTAATGATATAGCGCGCGATGATTGGAGATATTTACGTTAGTCTATATCGAAGGAATGTTGACGAACATATAGGTATATAGAATCGAGTATGTCGTTGCTTACATAATGTTTGTAAGGCCACGTCATTGGAATCCGGTTAGTGGAATGTGTAAATTAAGGCAAATAGAAAGCCAAGCACGGTTTACACAAGGATTAGGCAGCGGAATATTAGCACACGAAGTTCTTTGGGATATATTTGTTGAATACTGAAAGCAAGTTGAATATCATTACCAATATATATGGGATCGATTATGTCGTTGTTTAATTAATTCAATCATCACTAAATAAAGGATATCTTGATATTGTGATTCGTGAATATTCTTTGCAATTTTCACATTTTGGCTCCAAAAAATCTTGATTTTAAATTTTTAATCTTGAATTGGCTGTCTTGTTTTCGCCATTCTACTTGTGATATTATTCTGAAGTTATCTATCAACTTAATATCCTCATCTGGTAAGTCAGGCATTAAAATAGTGTGTCCTTGTACACACTTTGTGTCGTTGTAAAAGGTGAATGTGCCCTTGTAAATTGAAAAGTGTGTACTTGAAAATATATTAAACAGAAAATAGATTAATGTAATCCACGCAAAATGGCCAAAAAATTTCCAAATTCTGTTCTCAGAACACTGGACATGCCATTTCAGAGACTCCTGTTAAAATCTCGCGTCTTGTCTTCGACGCTTAACTTGTGGCTTCGCCACCCATTTTTGTGAGTCTGCACATTTATGCCGAAAATACTCCTCTGAAGGCAAAGTGTGTCCTTGTAAAAATTCCGTATTTTAATGCCTGTGGTAAGTAGTCAAATACCATATATTTTATTATTTACATCTATACTGACTATACATACTACAGTATTACTAAAAACATTCATTGTGTCAAAACATAGCGTATTGTCAAGAAATTCGTCCTCGGCAGCCAATGAACAATATCACAGGAAACTAATGCTCTGAGATATTGAATTAAACCCTGGTCCTGTATTTCTGTATTAAACTCTGTTCAAAACAACAGTCGGCGGTCCTTACATTCGCATAATATTACTTTATCATGTTATACATAACCCAAATAACTGTGCGACAAAAACGAAAAGTTAGAATTAACTGGAGATTATGCAAGTAGCTTGGAAATAGCGAAACTTATTTTAACACAATACATAACAAAATCATTTAAGCGACTCATTACACGCTTATTGTTTTGTTAAACCATTTGCCATTATTATGTAACAAAATCATTTAAGCGACTCATTACACGCTTATTGTTTTGTTACAAAGTATTTGCCATTATTATGTAACAAAATCATTTAAGCGACTCATTACACGCTTATTTTTTGTTATAAAGCAGTTACTGTTATTATGTAACAAAATCATTTAAGTGACTCATTACATGCTTATTGTTTTGTTATAAAGGGTTTACTACTATTATGTAACAAAACTTTTAAGCGAATCATTACACGCTTATTGTTTTGTTATAAAGCAGTCATTTAAGCAACTCATTACATGCTTATTGTTTTGTTATAAAGGGTTTACTACTATTATGTAACAAAACTTTTAAGCGACTCATTACACACTTATTGTTTTGTTATAAAGCAGTTACTGTTATTATGTAACAAAATCATTTAAGCGACTCATTACATGCTTGTTTTGTTATAAAGCAGTTACTACTATTATGTAACAAAACTTTTAAGCGACTCATTACACGCTTATTGTTTTGTTATAAAGCATTTACTACTATTATGTAACAAAACTTTTACGCGACTCATTACACGCTTATTGTTTTGTTATAAAGCAGTTACTGTTATTATGTAACAAAATCATTTAAGCGACTCATTACATGCTTATTGTTTTATTATAAAGCAGTTACTACTATTATGTAACAAAACTTTTAAGCGACTCATTACACGCTTATTGTTTGGTTACTGACTAAGACACTAAGTACACATGCGATTGGTTAATCAGGTTGATTAAACACATCTTATTGGTTAATAAAGGCGGTAGTGGTGCCAATTTACTACAATCCAATACTGTAAAGTGTCTGCCGAAGCCTATTGAAGATTGCATGACCAGAAGTGCGCGACCGGACATTTTAGCTGTAAAGAGCTTCGATTGAAACATTGAACGCTGAACCTTGTCATTGAACACATTTCGAATTTGTATTGCTTAGTTTCAAACTAAAGAGTTTTTGAACCATTAAGCCCCTCCCCCACCCACCCCTCAGCCCCTCTCCACCACTAAGTGCCCCTCTCCACCACTAAGCGCCCCTCTATTAACACAAAACCGCAATCAGGTTGATAAGATTTATTGATTTTTACTTTCCGTTGCATGACTTTATATTAAATATGCATTTGTTTTACCTTATACTTACCAAAATAGATAATTGTATTGTGCTCAGTGGTGGAAACTAGGGGGGGCCAGGGGGGCCGATCGCCCCCCCAAAATTTTACTAAAATTATATTTTAGCTAGATTTCATAATTCATTTTGAAAAATGAAAGCACAATATAAGGAAACGAAATGGTAAGTTTTAATAAAAACAAGCTAAAAACTAGCAAAAGTATTCTACATTTATAATCTCACAAGTCACGCAATGAGTGTTATGAATTCTGAAAAAAAGTCAAATTAAATTAGTTTTAAGCACTAGCTGTGCTACAAGTCTTTACTTAAACTGTACGATTCGGGATTTTTGATTTACCCATCGATCAAGCACTTTGTCCAAGTTTATTCTTTTTAACAGGTCTTTATTCATGGATAGCAACATAAAGTCACTGGCCAACGAACTGTCTAAGCTATTACGAGCCCAGCTCAATATCCGATTCATAGCACTGAAGCTTCTTTCCACGGTTGCAGTACCAACTGGCAAGGTCTTTGATATAGCAATCACCTTGGATAAGTTGGGGTACAGTTCAGGATCGATGTTCTTTCCGGTAGCAATTAGAATCTTCGCCCGTTCGCACTCGGTTTTAAGCAAGGTAGAGTCAATATGGAGACAATCTCCAAATTTGGCAACGAGACTGGATAGGGTCGCATAATCTAGGTAGGTCGATTTTGACGCATCTAAAGCCTCCAGAGCAGCCAGTACCTCGGTATTGTCGCCAGAGAAACGTCGTTCCAACTCTTGGAGGAGCATGGGAACAGAAGCTGGGCTGAGACGTTCACAGAACTCGCGAGGGCATGCAGATTCTGTGGAATCTTGTCTGGAAACTTGTCTGGAAACATACACGGGTTCCTCGTAGTCCAAGGTGATGTTCACAGTTGCACATAGCTGTTTGGCCGATTCAATGATATCGTTGGTTTCAATCTCAACAAGAAGCTTCTTTACAGCCACCATTTCATTGGCTATGTTTAGCCATTTGACATTGGTCTCTTGCATAGCCTTACTTAATCCATGCATTATTGAAAAGCATAGGGAAATTACAAATTTTCCCGAGAGAATCTTGTGGTAGAGTCCCGCTGCTGAATCGGCTTGGTTCGAATTTGAAGCGCCGATCTTTTGAAGGCTTACGAGAATCGCTTTAAGTCTTTTAACCATTGTATTAACACCTTCAAACTTACAAGCCCATCGAACTTCTGTAAGGGAGGAAGCCGCCATTATGGGCTGTTTCGGATAAAGCTCCTTTTGAACAGCTTCGAATATTTCTCTGTTGCCAGCGACGTTGAAAATGATGTGCAAAGCCTTGTAGACATTTATTACACTACATGCTTCATTGACTGTACGAAAATAAGCCGCTACAATCAAATTCAGACGGTGCGCAGCACAGTGAACATAAATCAACCAAGGATAATATCTCTTCAGTTTAGCAGCAACGCCTTCGTAACATCCGCTCATAACAGATGCGCCATCTGCTCCAAGTGCAAGGAGAGTGGCCGACAAGCTCAGTTTTTTACTTGTTGGCAAAACTCCTTCATTCACAATGGTTTCGGCATCAGTCTCTTTAAGTCTAACAAGATCATAATATCGTTCTTCGATTCGTCCTTCGTCATTTACAAACCTAAAACAAGTCGATAGCTCTTCATGCCCCGCATTATCTTTGCACTCATCGATGAGCATTGAATACATCCCCGTTTTGTCTATCTGTTCCTCGATCAGATGTCGAACCTCAGAAGCCATGGCTCTTATCAACTCGAGCGAAGATCCCTTTGATGTGTAGTCGTATACTTTGTACGTTTGAGTCAACCTACTATGCAGTTGATTGAATGTTGGGTTAGTGCGTAGCATTGCCTTGATAAATTCTTTCCACTTTCCTGCATTGAGCGACTCATCAGTTTCATCATGTCCTCTATACGCCATCTCTTCAGAACAAAAGTACCGATGATATTCCAACAGCGTCTTCATGTATTCTCGATTATTTTCCACTACAGACGGTCTTTCAGGGTCTAACATATTTCTAATACTAGCCCCTGGATTCTTTTTCTGGATGTTGTAACTTTCCCAACGAGCCATGGAAAGGAGGTGATCGGAGCATTTGTCATGTGCTTTAAATCCGCGATTATTTTCCATCGCCTTTGACCACTTAGAAAAACCAACTTCAGTGAATGCTGGGTCGCTCTTGCACGTCGATGTGCTAAAATTCCTGCACGCAAAACAAAATGCTTTGTCTTTTGCAATGCTGTATTCAAGCCACAGGTAGCTTGTATACCAGGCTGCTCGAAAACAACGATTCTTCTGGTTTCTCGGATAGGACCCAAGGTTTGGTTGTGAGGGCCCATCGACCAAAGTTCCAAGATCACTCACTGCGGAGTCTAGATGAGCTGGACAAACTCCCACTTGTGGCGGCTGAACAATACATACTGAAGGAGTCAACGGAGTAACTGCACCAGATGTTGACGGGACTGGACAACTCAACGCTGTATTGTTGTCTCCAGTAGTCCTGACGTGAGCGCCATCTTCTTCGTTTACTGTTGTGGTTGCCACAGCTCCAGTTGTTGATGATGCTGCATCTGATTCGTTGGTTACTTCATGGTTTGCTATTTTAGCGAAATATGAAGTTATTGTGCGATTTGCAGACCTCTTCATGTTTTTGAAGAGCGCCTCTTATCACTGTTTTACCCGTCTCAACAATACACTTTTCACAATAAAAATTTGACTTACGATATTCGATAAGTTTAAAAAATATATTGGAAAATTGATTTCTTATTTTATTCTTCAAAAGATTCACAATTATACAATTTACGGTCTGTAGACTTTAGTCTTATGAATAATGCATGCTTGCGGTTAGCTTTTTATACTAACAGGTACTGTAGGCGTGACTGAATTATGACCTAATTTCGAAAAATAGAACTATGACTGCATGACATTTCTGATGCAATACGCTAATACAATATGACTAAGCAAATTAATTTACATCCCATGACTAAGCTTAAAGTTATATTATATGATGAGACTTACATATTTATAATAAGTAATGATATATCTCTCAATTCCAGCAACTTTTTAAAGAAAATGTTAAAAAGCGACCGAGATATAGGAGAACATGCTATGACCACTGAATAGCTTCGCGCGAAACATGTAATTATGATTGACTCGAATTGTCAGTCTGACCTCTTGCGATTAAATACAATTAGTAAGGAACGGTCTAAGCCAAAACGCAAACGCAGTAGAAAAGTCACCGAAGCCAACATCGCGCATAGCTTGAACTTCGAGAGATTCTGTAAATACTATATTATAAGCTCTCTAATGTTGTCGCAATGATATATGCCTCCGAACAACAACTTATACTTTAGTGAATCCCACACCTTGATATTTGACACCAGCAAAGTTCACATTTTGTGGTTTGGCCACAAGTGGATTAACATTGGGGGCGGATAAAATGACAGAAATCGCCAAATCTTATATGGTCGTTTGAAGACAAAGCAAAATTACCCAATCTCCTCGACAAAAAAGAGTTTAAATTAACTACAGAGCGTTTTATCCGATTCGTCCCAAATTTGACCACAATGTTTAAAAGGTGGTGAATTTTGGCTAAAACAGTAGCTTCTAATGATGTAACCTTAATCGTGTCCAGTTACGGCAGTATATAGGCTCTTAAATTTATGATATACATGCATATATAATATAGAGTATTTTCCCGAGTGTTCATAAAACAATAGCAATTAATTGTATCAAATTTACTACGGACTATACAGTATCTAATTCTATAGGTAGTAATTTTCAGGTGTTCTTTCACTTCTCTGGTTTAGATATTTATTACGTACTGCAAGTTCAGATTACCGGTTTTTTATGTTTACCACATGATTTAAACCAAAATTCACCATTAACTTAATGTTTTGAAAACCTGGAATTTCTTACAAAATGCGCTCTCAGAATGCTGCAAATGCCATTTCAGGGGTCCAAATTTTAAAAATTTTCTGGGGGGCCATGCTACCAGACCCCCCTAAAAAACTCGTGCCTTCGGCACTCGCCCCCCCAAAATTTCGCAAAGTTTCCGCCACTGCATAGCCAGTAACGTTCGATTCCGTTCAGCCTTACCGTTGGCCTGAGGATGGTAAGGTGTTGTTCGACGTCGACGAATTCCAGTGAGCTTTTCTAACTGATGGAATAGATTGTTTTCAAATTCTCTACCTTGATCATGTAGTATATGAGCAGGGAAACCAAACCGAAGGATAAAGTTTCTCTGCTGCGGTTGTACTCGATTTATTTCTAGTCGGATATGCTTGTGCAAAGCGAGTGAAATGATCGACGATAACCAATATGTATTCATATCCGCCAGAACTTTTCTCGAGATGCATGTAATCGATTGATATCAATTCGAACGGGGAACACGTTGTTATACTACATAGTGGCGCACATGTTGGTCGAGCGGGTCTACGTTGTTTGAGACAACCGCAAACATTAGTAACAAAATGTGTTATTTCGCGGTCCATATTAGGCCAATAGAATCTTTCTCTCACTAATTGTACCACTCTCTCCGCTCCTAAATGTCGCATATCCTGGTGCAGTTCTTTGTAAACCGTAGGGAGAAATTTTCTTGGCAAAACGAGTTGTGTGTATGGGCCGCTTTCGCGACGTAGTAATCCGTCCTTTCCAATCTTAAGTTTATGCCATTGCTGCAACAGGGTCTCTTGGTATTGGGTAGTTCATTTTTCGCATCCTGAATGGATGGGAGGCGCCCCTCGAGCATAAATGCTCGTTCCTTACCGATCGACAGATCTTCTTTTTGTGCCTTGAGAATTACATCATTACTCTACACTCATCGTTAGTTAGAAAATCGATATCCGGGAGAACTTCGTCGAGTGTTAGAGCTGTAACCCATGTAGCGTTTCCATATTGCTGTGCGGTAATACCCGTAATTACAGCCTTGATGTTTTCACTATAGGTACCTCCTCCGTGCACATTTTTCGCTAATTTGCCAAGTCTACAGGCATCCTTGACAAAGCATCTGCATCTTGGTTATTACGACTCGGGCGGTTTGGTTATTACGCCCCGGGCGATACTTTATGTCGAATGTGAAATCCGCGAGTTCGGACACCCAACGATGACCCGTTGCATTTAATTTAGCTGTTGACAGTATGTATGTTAATGGATTATTATCCGTATAGATCGTAAAGTTCGGGGCATAGTATAAAATGTCTCGAAAGTGTTCGCAGACAGCCAACTTTAAGGCTAAGAATTCTAACTTTCCAGCATGGTACCTTCTTTCTGCAGGGCTTAGGGATCTCGAACCATACCCGATTACTCGCATCTTTCCCTTTTACATTTGATACAACACAGCGCCAAGTCCCTGAAGTGATGCATCTGGTTGACTATAATCTGGGTAACCCAGGATGAGACAATCAAGAAGTTCACTGAGAGCATTCTGGTGTTGGCTTTGCCACTGAATTGGTTGCGATGATAGTACACTGTTTTTCACATTACTCGAGTTAGAATTCATATTAGGTGGAGCTTGTAACAAATCGAATAGTGGTCTTGCGATTCGTGCAAAGTCCTTAATATATCTCCGATAGTAGCCGAGAAGTCCCAGAAGTTTCCGTTATTCGCCAATTGTCTTCGGTTCTGAGTCCTTTAATGCTCTTACTGCTTCAGTCTTTCCTGGGTCGAGTCTGTACCACTCCGCTGACACAATCTGTCCCAAATAGTTAAATTCCCTTTGAAAGAAATTGCACTTTTCTGGTTTTAACTTAATTCCATTGGCACGTAATCGTTGCATAACCAAACGGACATGCTCAACGTGTTCATCAAATGTTTTACTAAATATAATAATGTCATCTAAATATGGGATGCAAATGTCCTTTTTGAGACCCCTAGGCAGTGTTCCATAAACCTTTGGAATTCTCCGTGTGTATTTCTAAGCCCATGCAAACGGTATGCGAACCGACTCGAATAAACCCCACGGGGTGATAAAAGAAGTTTTGTGTCGACTTTCAGGATCTATATAACCTTGATGATAGGCCTTCCCCTGATCTAACACTTTGAACAATTTGTTACAACCAAGGCTTTCGAGCGTCGCTTGCACTCTTGGTAATGGATGTCTATCAGGTACTGTCTTCTTGTTTAGTTGTCTGTAATCCACGCATAGCCGAATGTTCCCATCTTTTTTTCTGACACAGACCACTGGCGATGAATACGATGAACGTGATTTTTGAACATATTGTCGCGTTCCGCCGCGATATTCTATCGATCAATCGAAAAACAGTCGTCTCAAAAACACATACAATTCTTCCAAAATATCACATCACAAAATATATCTACACTTGTTTATTAGACTCGGGCTTATATAGAGCCTGATTTGCATTACGCCTACACAGTACAGAACAATACATTTACAAACACAATACAATTACACAATACAAATTACAAATACAATAGCCAGTCAACCATGCTGCCGTATTCCCAACATCGCCCCCAACTAAACCATCGAATTGTCCCAATGATGGTGCATGCACTTTCTAAGTCTAACTGTCCGCCTCCGAATTCCAAAGTTCTGACTGATCACCGCGATACGCCCACAAACGATTCCGATGAATCACCTTTAGTTTTCCATTCCTGCCTCGCTGAATTCTATAAACAAGATCGTTCAACCGTTTATTGACAACGTACGGTCCTTCCCAAGGTCGCATTAACTTTACGCTTCTTCCTTTCTTCTTGCGGGGATTATACAACCAAACTTGATCACCTTCGTTAAATATACATGCCGAACTGTCCACGTCATAACGTTTTCTCATCGACTCAAAGCTTTGTTCAATATACTTTCGAGCGAAGTCATGTGTCACTTGCAAATTTTCTTGCAGTTCTCGAACGTAGGTAGAGTAACTTTCAAGAACTTCCGGATCGGGTCGTTCATAAACTAAATCAATTGGGGTTCTAATTTCTCGTCCCATCATTAGTCGCGCGGGGGTAAAATGCGTAGAAGCATGAGTTGCCGTTCGATACGCCATGAGAAGTAGTGGTACATACTTATCCCAGTCTTTTTGATGTTCGGCAACAAACAAGGAAAGCTGAGTCTTTAATGTTCTATTGTAACGCTCAACCATTCCGTCTGATTCCGGATGGAGAGGTGTAGTTCGAGTTTTCTTAATACCAAGTAACGAACACATTTCCTGAAACACGGCTGACTCAAAATTCGTTCCCTGATCAGAGTGCAGTTCGAGTGGAACTCCAAATCGGCATACAAACTCATTTACTATAACCGTAGCAACTGTTTTTGCCTCTTGATTTGGCAAAGCATATGCTTCCGGCCACTTGGAAAAATAATCCATGACCACTAGTAAGTAGCGATTACCTTTCGTAGATCGAACCAGAGGACCTATTACATCGATTGCAACCCTCTCCAATGGCGCGCCAACGACATACTTTCCTAGACGAGCTTTCTGTCGTGTCACTGGACCTTTACGTGAAGAACATTCCGAACAAGTAGAACACCATAGTGTTACATCTTCGCGACAACGAGGCCAGTAGAATCTCTCCTTTACTCTTTCCAGCGTTTTTTTACTCCAAAATGTCCTCTGGTCGGGTGATTGTGATGATGCATTAAAACTTCCTCTCGTAAAGCTTTCGGTAACACGAGCTGAAGTCGTGTTGTCGTACCGTCCGATGATTCCCACTTTCGACACAAAATATCATTTCGTAAACACAAACTGTCCCATTGTGCCCAGCAATTCTTCGTCACTTCGCTAAGAGCTGACACTTGGGACCACTGTCGTCTTTCATTACCACTTTTCATCCACTTAATTACATGTCCTATGTCTGAATCCATTTCTTGAGCTTTTACTATGTCTTGCGGGCCCACATTTTCAATAAAATTTTCGTGTCCCAATCGTCAACATCTGTATCCTGAGCAGGCGATTGCCTTCTAACACGATTGGCTACCAAAGTCAATCTATGGTTCTCATTTTCACATTGACCTTCGCTTGCTGTACGCTCTTTTGTTTCAGCTCTATCACAACTTTTGCAATGTTCCCCAAGACATGGTCGTCGCGACAATGCGTCGGCATTGAGATGACATTTTCCGGCTCGATGTTCAATCTTTAGATCATACTGTTGAATCTTTTGCAACCAGCGTGCGAGCTGACCCTCGGCGTACTTAAAATTCACCAACCACCGAAGAGAAGAATGATCTGTCCGTACAGCAAACTTTCTTCCATAAAGATAAGGATGGAAATGAGCCAAAGATTTTACCACAGCTAACAATTCTCGTCTTGTTGTACAATACTGGCGTTGCGTTCGATTAAGTGCACGACTGAAATATGCGATAACTTTTTCTTCGTTGCCCTGTTTTTGTGACAGAACAGCCCCAATTGCGACACCGCTTGCATCTGTATCCAATATCAATGTTCCTTCGTCACTTAAAAAGGATAAGACAGGGGTATTTGTCAACTGTAATATCTAAGTACTAGGTATATATTTGTGCTATAGAATATATTTAGTATAACATAACGATATAGTTCTTATTGGTGTTTTAGTGTGTGTGTGTGTCTTCTACACAACGTGTCCTATATATATATTTAATTAGTTCCGACCGTATAGTCCTGGTGCCGAGTGAATGACATGACGTCATTACTATATCACTCCCCTTTTTTTTTTATCTAATTACCGACGAGGGAATTCCCTCGCCATATCGTTCTGGTTGCCTGACATTCCTTGTCGATCGTCTTGGCTCAGGGTTACTAGTGTCAACTCTGTCTCGTTCGGTCCTTTCCGCGTCATACGTTTCACTGTCATCGTCGTCGTCGACTTGAACATCAATCTTTGGCTTCGGTATTGGCTTGAAGTGTGATACATTGCGAGTTATAGTGTGTCCTGTTTGACTACGTGCTGTCACCGTGTTGTTGTTTCGCGAGATGACAATGTGGGGTGTTTCATTGAAATTAGGGGTGAGTTTGTTCCGTCTCTCTTGCTTCCACAAAACGTAGTCGCCAACTTTTATTGGGCTTTCTCTAACGTTTCTCTTTTCATCAGCGTAACGTTTGTTATATTGTTGTCTTTCACCTTCCTTTTCCCGAGCCTCGTTGTGACGGTTAACGAGATTGCGTTTTTGTAAAATAGGAAGTTTTCCTTGAACTTGGCGATTAAATAACAGTTCAGAGGGTGGAACACCAGTGGTACAATGCGGTGTGGTGCGATAGTGCAACAGGAAACGACTTAGCTCTTGTTTCCATGGACGACCGTCAAGTTTAGCAGCTTTCAGGGATTTGCCCAAGGGTTGCATGAAGCGTTCTACCTCAGCGTTGCCTTGGGGCGATTTGGGAGTAGAGAAGATTGCCTTTATTCCAAGGGCAGTGAGATAGCGTTGGTATTCTTTGCCATTGAAAGGGGGACCATTGTCGCTTTTGAGAAGGGTAGGAATGCCATGAACGGCAAAGATCTTGTCGAGTTTTGGTATCACAGTAGAGGCTCTCGTGGAGTGGACAATTTCGACCTCGGGAAACCGAGAATATCTATCTACAACGACAAGAAGGTATTCTCCAGCGGGTAGAGGACCATAGAAGTCGACATGAACAGTTTGCCAAGGTCCATCAGGCATGGTGGTGGGGGTGATTGGTGCTGGTGGGCCGGGTCGGCCAAGGGCTTGGCAAGTTAAACAGCGATCAAGAGTTGTTTTAACCATGGCGTCGATATTCGGGAACCAGATTTTTCCGCGAATTAATGCTTTAGTTTTGGTTAGACCAAGGTGCGTCTCGTGGGCGATGTCGATCGCGCGTTGTTGTAAAGCTTGGGGGATGACAATTCGATGTCCACGCAGGATAATGCCGTTGTTAGTGACTGTCAATTCGTCTTTGATGTGTTTGAATGACGTCAGAATGTCGGTGGACCACTTGTTTGTACGTAAACAAGTCACGAGCGTGGACAGAGTCTTATCTGCACGTGTAGCTGTGGCAATTTCGTCGAGTGGCATGGCGCGGGGGGCAGTGTCGTTCAATGAAGTTGACATATTCTTCAGCCATGCGATCCGGGTGTGACATGCGTGGTGATGCAGGATGACGTGATAAATAATCAGCGGGGTTGGTGGCACCAGGTTTGTAGATGACGTTAAAGTGGTACGGTTGTAATCGCAGAACCCAACGTTCTATACGTGCAGACGGTTTCGACCTGGTGGTGCCGTAAATGATTTCAAGGGGTTTGTGGTCGGTTACCAACGTAAAATGATGTCCAAACAGGAACATGTGGAAATGTTCGACAGCCCAGACAATAGCGAGGGCTTCTCGTTCGGTTTGGGAGTAACGTGTTTCGACGGGCGATAAGGCACGACTGGCGTAAGCAATGACTTTGGAATTTGCGACATTTGACGATTTTTGTGAGAGGATAGCCGATACCCCGACAGGGCTCGCGTCGACGACAACAAATGTTTCTTTATGGATGTCGAAATACGCCATGCATGGAGCTGACGTTAGAGCGGCTTTCAGGTTGTCGAACGCGTTTTTATGTGCCGTGGTCCACACAAATGGTGTGTCGTTTTTCGTTAAGAGACGCAGGGGGGCAGTGATTGTTGCAAAGTTGGGGATGTATTGACTGCTGTAGTTCGCCATACCAAGAAAGCTTCGGACTTCTTGGACAGTGGTGGGTGTGGCCACATTCTGGAGGTCGACGACTCGTTGAGGGTCTGGTCGCGTGCCATCGGCAGAGAAGATTTGACCGAAAAATTCCAATGTGGGATTCAATAATTTACATTTACTGGCGTTGAGGGTCAATCCTCGGGTTGTTAGACGTTGTAGGCACTTGTCTAGATTTTCATCGTGTTCCTTGCGAGTACTTCCATAAACGATAATATCGTCGGCTATGTTCTTGACTCCGATGAGTCCTTGTAATTGTGTCTGAAGCGTGTATTGGAAAATCTCGGCGGCAGCGTTTGTCCCATAATTTAAACGTTTATAGCGATATAGCCCGATGTGTACTAAATGTGGTGATATGTCGGCTTTTCGGATCGAGTTCGAGTTGGTGGTACGCCTGGGATAAGTCCAATTTCGAGAAATATTTCGCGCCGTTCAGTTCAAATCTTACGTCATCAACCGTAGGTATCGGGTGTCGGACCCTTTTGATCGCCTCATTCGCTTGTCGCATGTCAACACAAATACGCACTCCGCCGTCTTTTTTTGGCACGGCGATTATGTCGTCTTTTTCAAGGGTTATGATTGCATCTTTAACTTTGTTTCGGATGTGGTAAGGGATGCGGCGCTGTGGTTGAGCTTTAGGATTAGCATTGGGATCAATGTTTAGGTGGACGGTCTG